AGTGGACGGAAGAAAACAGCAACATCAGCAGAAATGGTCCGAAAAGTAATGAAACGACTTGATCGAAACCCGCGTCGCAGTGGCCGAAAAAATGGATGGTGAGCTGAACATATCGCAATTGAAATCCCAAAAAGTGCAAGTATTTACACCGCAACAGAAAGAAAATAGACTCAAAGGAGCTAAAGAGTTGCTTCGCTTGGTCGAAAGTGGTGAACTGCCGAATTTGGTTTTCTCCGATGAGAAAACATTCGTTGTCCAGCAGTTTGTAAATAAACAAAATGATCGTGTTTACTTGCCAAAGAGGTCAGCTGAAAATGTGCACCTTCGGTTGGTCACCAGAACTCAAGCGCCGGCCATGTTGATGGGGTGAGCCGCCATAACAGCCGATGGTCGCTCTCCACTCGTATTAATCGACCGTGGCATCAGAATAAATGCCGAATATTATCGCGAAAATATTTTGGAGAGTGTATTAAAGTCTGGGACACGCAAACATTTTGGGCGCAGACCTTGGACATTCCAACAGGACTCATCTTCTTTTGCAGCGCACAATGGCCACCAAAATCTCCGTATACCAATCCGTTGGACTATTTTTGTCTGGAGACTAAAAAATACCAGTGTCTATCACTTTAAGCAAATGCCTCGCCGGGAATGGGCCAAAATACCGCAGAGCAACATTCGGGCAGCGTGTGACGGTTCCATTCCCCGTTTGAAGGCCATAATTCGTGCCAAAGGTGACCAATTTGAACAAATCTAAACTTATTCTAAAATTTGATGCTATTTCCGATATTTTTGCTTTCACTCAATAAAATTATAAAAATTATGACGTTTGACATTGTTGCAGTTTTTTTCTCATCCTGTATATAAAAAAACAGTTTTTCAACTAAAATGACGTACAACTTGCATTTTAATAGTAGCCCAATCTTACGTTACATGGCTGCAGCAGCTTACAAAATATTTTATTTTATTTCAATTTGGAATATCAACATTTGTTAATTTATTTATAAATTACACAGCTTGTTGGTGCCATGAAAACATTTCCTAAATATAAGTACTTAAAACTAACTGCAACAGTATTAAAAAAAAAACAATGTTACGAAAAGAATATCTGTGGTAATTTTTATCACATCACTAATTTGGATTGTTTCAAATGGGTTGTCGATGTATGTATCTCAATCGTGTCTCTTTTTGTCTTTGATCCACTACATCCAGGCTGTACGTACATGGGATCCTACTTGTCATCACGATTGTTGCCATCATCAAAAATCATGATATTTGTACTAAACTGTGTGATTCGAAAGGATATCAAGAAAATTGTATTGCATCTCTTTTATGCAATAGTTTTGTTCGTGGTTCCTTTCCATTTATTTGGATTAATAATTACCTATGATTTTCCCGGGACTGCCAGGTGGTGGCGATGGCGAATCTAATGATATTATTTCGATTTCTGTAAAAAAAAGGAACAATTGTTTTCACAATTAAATTCAATGTTGAAAATTTTAAAATATGTATTAGAACTCTCAATAAAATCATTTATGATACAACTAGATATTTATATTATATTCTAATTCTCTGCTATTAAGTATTCCATGAGTATTTTTCATGTTTTTAGGACGATCGAAAATGAAAACATTCGATGACGAGTAAAATTGCGTTTCTTTAAACCCATAGCTTTCTTTCAATTGCCCTTTATTCCATTGAATTGAATGAGAAACAAATGCTGAAACGCACAAATATGAATGATTAATTTAAGTTATCTTGTCAAAATTCAATCAGAAAATCTATGCAGGAATTGCTAAAATAATGCCAAAACGATTCGAAATGGTTTCCATCACATACCTGAGACTGCTGTCATTTCTAAGCCACTCGTCCGATAACTGTTAAAATTATTCCAGTGACAGCTCGTTATATTGTTTTCAAGCGTACAACAGCATTTTCCCCAAAAAAAAATTATTCGTAATGGAATTCAAGCGTGATAGTGTGATTGCTTTACATTTGACTGGAAAACCTTTAGAGCACTGCAGCATTTAAATGTAAATAAATTTTTTGTGTCTCGTACCATCACTCGTTACCGTAATGCTGGAAGCATATCCCGATATGTTTCAAGGAAGTGGACGGAAGAAAACAGCAATATCAGCAGAAATGGTTCAAAAAGTAAATAAGCGACTTGATCGAAACCCGCATCGCAGTGGCCGAAAATGGCTCGTGGGCTAAACATATCGCAATATTCCATTCGGCAAATATTGAAAAATGAGCTCGAAAGTCGTAAACTACCGAATTTGGTTTACTCCGATGAGAAAACATTCGTTGTCCAGCAGTTTGTAAACAAAGAAAATGATCATGTTTACTTGCCAAAGAGGTCAGCTGAAAATGTGTACCTTCGGTTGGCCACTGGGGCCGCCATAACACCCGACAGATTAATTGACCGTGGCGTCAGCATAATCATATGCTTTCGTTGCAGTACCTGCTTGGGTGTTACCGTGAGAGTCATCCCAACCATCATATGGTGGATAACTCTCCCCCACCCAGGCGTGTCAGGAAGGACATACATGATCTAGAGAGGGAGGTCCAGCGCTACAAGAGAGAGCCTCTAGATAAAGAAGCCTATCAGGCAGGTCTGAGTGGCATTCACACCGATGCAGTCGCGGATGCTATTAGCAGTTATAAAGTGAATGCCGTCCTCGGAGTCCACCCCCCCATCCATTGCAGCCGAAGAACGTCAGCTGCCTAGACAAACCAGGGTAGTTTTGGCGCAATTACGTTCAGGATGGTGTAGTCGCCTCAATTCGTATTGGGCACGAATTGATGAAGATGTGCGTGACGCCTGCCCGGCGTGCGATACAGGCCCGCACAATACGCTACACCTTTTTAATTGCTCAGCCAAACCTACCCAACTCACTCCAGAGGCTCTCTGGCTACAGCCCGTTAAAGTAGCCGAATTTCTAAACCTGGAGCTGGAACCAGATTAGCAGAACACAAACACACACATGTACTACTGCTACAACAACAACAAAAATGCCGAATATTATCGCGCAAATATTCTGGAGGGTGTATTAAAGTCTTGAGCACGCAAACATTTTGGCCGCAGACCTTGGACTCGGCACCATCGCACTCAGCACGCGCCATCCAAGAATGGTTACAAAATAAGGTTCCTCGCTTCATTTCCAGCGCACAATGACCACCAAAATCTTTGGATACCAATCCGTTGGGCTATTGTGTCTGGAGTATTATGTCACTAAAAAATACCAAAGTGTCGATCACCTCAAGCAAGCGTTTCGTCGGGAATGAGCCAAAATACCGCAGAGCAACGTTCGGGCAGCGTGTGACGGTTTCATTCGCCGTGGGAAGGCCATAATTCGTGCCAAGGTGACCAAGACGAACAAATCTAAACTTATTCTAATATTTGATGCTATTTCTCACATTTTTTGCTTTCATTCAATAAGAATTAAAAAAAAATGTAAAAATTTTGGCTTTTGACTTTGTTGCAGTTCTTTTATCTCGCCCTGTAGATGAATAACTTCTTGAAGATCAGCCTTTCTAGATCGTAATTAAGCAGAAGTTCTTCTTTGTCCTAGACACAGTATCGTTCGCAAGGTCTTCCATACAAAAACCTTCTGCGGGAAAACGTCTGGAATAGAAGACTTATGGTGTAGGATGATCAATTTTGGCTTATACTTCAAACCGGGGCAAACGGAACACATTTTCTTCTTTCATAAAAAGGCCAGTCTACGACTTATGCCTGAAAACAATTTCTGACTGCCTTCCTGGTTCAAAGAATAGGCCTATTTTAAACTATGTCACCTTCAATTCATTTTTTCATTAACCTAAAAAGCCAATCTATCACTCATGCTTTCAGCGATCGAAAAAAAGCGAAACGATTAACGTCCCCCTTTAACAAAGACAGAAACCATTAAATTTTTTCAATCTTTTTGTGCTAAAAACATAACCACAAATATTTCAATGCCAGAAGTACACAAACAATACGATTGCCTAATGTACTTCGGCTGTGAGTTGCAGAGCTGTACCGTTTGCGAACGAATCGCCGGGAAACGTTTGCAAACGTTTGCTGTGTGAAATGATGACTGGTACATAAAAATATTTTATTCTTATTATAATTTTTGAACTTTTTTACATTGTGTGATGATCAAATAAATGAATAAAAAGAATACTTTGAACTTTTAATTAGTTTTTACATTATTTGTATTGAGTTCATATACCGGGAAACGTTTGCAATGGGTATTGTACTGTTTGGTTTCCAATGTTGCGTCATCCAGCAGACTACATTTCAGTTTTGTTTTTGTTTCCACTCATCTACACAAACAGTACAACTTAAGAAACCAGTCCTGTTATCTTAATATCGGTTTCGTTTCGTACTTCGAGAAAATACAGAACGAAACGATTACAAACGTTTCCAATAGTTTATTTTCGTTTGCTGCATGCCACAAATAAATCCTCGTATATTTTCACACCCTGCTATAGAAATACTTTCTACTGACATCTCGAATAGTTTACAGAGGCTTTCTATACAAAGACTTTCTAATGAAATCTTGAATAGTTTTTATTGGTTTCCTCTAAACCGATGACTTATGTGGTCTTAATACCTACCTAACAGCCTTCTTCTACGATCGGTTTTTAATAGGGTTTCCGCCTTTAAAACGCAAATGACTTTCTAAATATCTTTCAAAGCCGTCTTTTGGTGGAGGGTATGAACAACTTAAGATGAGGTTCATTGAACAAATGTATACCCCATTATATTATTGTGGATTTCAATGTCGATTTTCTCGTGACATAGGATTTCATACGCTAATTTTGTAAAAGTATTCAAATCGAAAAGTATTCAAACGTAAATGTGATAGCATTTAATGTAAAGTGTTGTAAGAAAGAAAAGAAACCATTTCATTAGCTTAGATTTTAATATCTATAGGTATTTACTTATTAGACCTAGAACTTGCCTGGCTAATTCTCTCGTTTGCCTGCACAAAACAAAATAAATGAAACAACAATTTTTAGGTGATTTTTTTTTGTCTTTTGGTTTTACTTTACAATGTATTGTTAATGTATTTTGTTTATTTCATAACTTTGTTTTTCCATTTCAGCTTAAGTGTATGTAGCACTATTTTATACACAAAATTATAAAAAGAACATGTTTTTTGTTACTAATTTTATTGGGATTAGAGTTAAAAAAAAGTGTGTCATCTATTCATGATTTGAAAGTCTATAACTAAGAACAATAAAATAGATTTAATGTTTTTTTATTTTGATTTATTTACATTTATTAGTTATTCTTATACTGTAGCAGTATGCTTATTTTTATTCATTGTGATATATATATTCTTTGCTTTTAAATATATATTTTTTAATAATAGTTTTTTTCAGTTTTGTTTTCTTTTTTTGTTTATTTTATTTTCTTATGGTAGTTGTTGTTGTGTATAGGATTTGTTGCTATTAGGCTTCAGGTTTTTTTTTTTCTAAAACATTTTTTTTTTAAGTAATGTGGCAGAGTGGTTTGCTTACCTAAATGTTTGTTAAGAAAAAAAAAAACAAACAGAAAAACTAAAAATTATAGGAAAAATGTGTAAAACAATAAACAAAAAATCATTGCAATAAATAAAATTTATATTTTATTTAGTTTACATAGGCATATCAAAAAAAGTAAGATAATGAAATGATTTCTTTACTTTGTGTTGAATATTTATCTTTACACCAAGTAAATACATCAAATTTGACGGAAATAAAGGGAATATGTCATCCAGCCATCACTTACATACAATTCAAACTCTACACTTCACTGGAAGTGTGTAGCAATCCATTTCTTATTTCTAAATATATGCAGTAGTTTAACTATTTTAGCCAAACAGACATAAACACCAATTTTTTATGATGTCAGGACATCCTCCACTCAATATCGCGGCAGAATATACAATGCGACAGATTCTTTTTATAAAAATGAACCCTTTTCAAAATTATTAGATGCAAATACAAAAGCATTTCAGGATTGACACTTTTGAACTTATTTAAATACAAATTTTGAATGCATAATGTTATCGAGTGGATGTCGATTTTGAGGGATTGTTGTTAATTTATAAGGTTTAGAGGTGAAATGAAGTATTTAAATAATAAAATTCTAATTAAAATATATATATTAGAAAGCATGTGGAACATTTGACAAAAATTTAAGTTTTGCATTGGATTATTTTAACTCACAACAACCCATTCCATGGCATGTGAAGCATAATACAAAAGACAAGTTAAATAGGTCGGGGGGAAATTGTATGACTTGTTACTCTATTCTAATTTATGAACAGATTCGTCCTTTGTTTTAGTGACATACGATGATCGTAATAACAAATTACCTTCAGTTTTTAAACAGATTCATAGCCTTAAAATAAGTCTTCACATTTTGAGATAAAATCAGGACAATCTCATTCTCAATATTGAATGCGAATAACCTTTTGGTACCCTTTGTAATGTATCAATTCTTTTTAGTTGGAGTCCATGGAAAATAAAAAACATGATTATTTTAGTTTATTTTATAATAAAGTAATGTTCAATTTTAAACGGTGATAGTTTTTTGTCTTGGATTTTTATAATTTTTCGAGTTTGTCAGGAAATTGTAAAGTTCTTTAAAAATAGGTATTTTCTTTTCTCATGAACTCGCACAAAACAGAATTGGTACTTCAGAACCTTTGAATAATTTTTGTTTTTAATGTTCTGTATAATAGAGTAGTGTAGCCATTAGCTTTAATATAGGCTATTAGCTTTTCAGTACCCCACCGATTTTAAACAGCTTAGCAGATATTTTTATATGAATAAAAAAATTACCATTCTTATTATAATTTAAGCATTATTATAAATATTCTGGTTTAGAAATGGAGACACATATTTCAAGTGTGTCAAGAAAAGAAATAGCCAAGTTCTTTGAAAAATATTGACATATGTCTGGCCTTTCGATCATATATGTAGATCTCTGCCAACTCTCAGATCCTAAAATATAAACTATTTAAACTAATTGATTGTATAACTAACTAAATATGTTAAAGAAAAAACATTAATAAATATTTATCTTATATTAAAACATATAAATAATGTATAACTCCACAGTAGTCTTTAGTTGTGTTAAATGCATTTACATTTGTTTACACTGAAACAAAAAAATATATATAAAAGTTAATTAATTTTATGGTTAATAAAATTCATTGAAAATATTATTTTAGTTGAGGGAAATAGAAGTAAGAATTTTTAAAGTGAAATTTTATTGGAAACAATGCTCTAAACATCTTGTAAAGGGAATTAAAAGTTATGACCTCCTCAAATGTCATTTTTGTAAAGTAAAAGCCAAAATTACTATCGTCCCGACTGTAGAAGTGTTGAAAAGCATTAAATTCACACTGCTGTCCATTTTAATAAACGCTGAACTGCATTGTGTTTTTTAATAGTTTTCAAAAATATTCCTTCCCCTAACGTAATTATATAGCAATGTGGAAATGTAATAGAATAGTGTTTACAACTATTCGCAGACTATGCGTCAACGCAATCCTTAGACGAAAATATCATCTGGGGAAATGTTTAATCAATCACTCGCCTCATTACAAACAATGTAAAATCCCAAACTAATTTTGAGTTTTCAATATAAAACACCAAATTAAAAAAAAAAAGTTCGTGAAGCCCTACTTTTTCGTTGATAATAGGGCTAATTAGTAGAAAATACAAATGGAAAGAAAGAAAAATGAAACACATTTTTTTTACAAAAAAAAAAAAAAGTAAAAAAGCCGGGCCCATGTGGAACGAATTTGGTAATTAAAAAAAAAAAAAAAAAAAATAAAATAAATAAATAAAAATATATATATTTTTAATTTTGTTAAATAATAATATTGCCGAATGTAGCCGTTATATTAGGTAGGGTATGGGGGCTATAACAAAACGTGGACCTACATTACCCATTAAATACCAAAAGTCCTGCAGACATAATATATATTTGAGTAAAATTTTATCAACCTACTTCATTTCGTTCGGAAGTCAAACAGTAACAATGAATTCCATGAAAACTACTTTTCTATTTTATTATTATTTCTTACGAAAACAATAGAAAAAACAAAGGTCATATTCGGCTTAATTACGGTTGTCATTGCATTGTCTGAGTCCAAATTTTAATAAAAATATGTACTTAATGTGTTCTTTTAGATTTAGATTTAATACCTTTCCAAAATGCTACAATTTCCTAATGCTAACATATTTTCTGAGTCCAGAGATATTCTCTTCTGGGTATGTTCAACCGGTAACGCGAACTAATTTAACAGACATGTGACCACTTGTTGGATGCCTATTTTCATAAGTTTTCAAAAGATCCTACATAGGAATACGGATCTTGAACCCGGACTTTCGAGTCACGGGGGGTACCGAGTCCGCCCTCCAAGTAAAAAGTATTTTTCCGATATCAGGGTAAAAATGCCGACCTCTCGAAAAAATATCAAAAAAGAAATCGGAGAGTTTTTACTAAACTAGCGTTGTTTCAATTGGCCACAGCATTGAGGTTTTTAGCGCTAGGATCTTAGTAGGCCAGTTTCGCAAATGACTTCAATATTTCCAAATTGTTTTGCTGTTGTTATTTTCATGGTCAAATGTAAAATGCAAAATGGTTCAAATATCAACGTCGACTAACAAATGCAATGTCGTCTCAATTTTTTACGGCGACAGATATTCTCTCAAAACGACATCACGTCGACTGTTGTATCGACAATCGCTATCGACAAAAAACGACAACGCTAATACAGTTATTGTCGCCTCGATTTCAATTTGCGACGACCACAACCGTAATGGGCCGATTATTGATTTGTTCTTTTTCTTAAGACAATTTTCGCTAAGTTTCCATAAAATATTTCTAAAAGTACGAATAAAACCAAAAACATAAAAGTATTATGATGGGACAAGACAGAGCCAAATGTCATGAGCTCTTATTCTACATATTGTCGCCACAAACCATTTACTCAGAACGCATTTTGTCAAGACTTGATAAAACATTTACTTCTGTTGGAAAAATCAAATAATTAAACTAACAAAAATTTCCTGCACAATACGACAAAATGTTTAGAGTCTGTTTCTGTACGGCGACACAAAGTAAAAACATATTTGCATTAATGTTTTTCTTCCAAATCAACACAAAGAAACAGGCCCAAACCGAGCTAAACGGCATTCGATAAAATTTTAAACAAATTATTACAAACAAATTGAGTATATCGACAAACTTTACATTAAGAAAACAATTGGATACAAAATTTCTAATTTGTGGCAATTCTACTTATCCCCTACTTATAAGCTAATATGCAAATCTTCACACAAATATCCATACCAAAATACTAAAACTTGATATAGTTGAAGATTTGTAGAATTTACATATCCGCTGCTGTATTATTATTTGTATTATTTGCAATTTGCGTTGATGATGTCACAACACCGCCGACATGGGCTAAACGTTGAGCTGCTGATGGTGATGCACCGGAAGTTGCCACTGTTCCAGAAGCTGTTTTCATTGTTGAATTATTTTGACGTAAATCCATAAGAATTTGATCCGGCATCAGATCGCCACCTTCTTAAGAATTTCATAACAAGAAAAAACATTTTTTTAATTCAACAAAAAGTGGAAAAATACAGATAAGGTGGCAAAAATTCCGGGGTTGGCAATGAAAACGGAGAAAAGAAACCAAGAAATAGAAATGATTCGTTGCTTTTTTTTTCGATATTTAAAAGAGTTATATAAAAATCATTTATTATAAGTATATAGTTAGATATCAGTGACTGATTTACAATAATACAAAAAAAATTACCTAAACTTATTGATATTACATTAATATATAAGAAAAAAAAAAGGTTGGGATACAAGACAAAAAATGGAAATAACACATTTTCTTCAATTAAAACAAAAAATAAAATAACAATGCTGTTACATATATATGCTAGTACTTTTGAATCAATTAAAAACAAAATACAACAACAATATGAAAACAAAACCTATGGATTTTTTTTCCAGCGAAAAACAAAAAAGAAAACATTGGACTTAAGTCTTCTTAGTAACACGACTAATGGTAATTTCATTAATTTGTATATTGCCATTTAAATTTTTTGAATTTGGGCAATTATTATTATTGTTGTTGTTGTTGCGTTTATTAAGGATACTACTAAAATTAGTTTTGATTGTTTGGCATTTGATCTCATTGTCTATCCGTTTCAATATATCACCTATACGAACAACATCATCGCCAATTTCTGTATGTCCTCTATTATTCTGGCTAGAACGTATTACAGGTAAGTGGTGGTTGGTAGCGCTAGATACCGAACGAATGCGGGAAACTAAATGAAAAGAAAATAAACTATTTACATATGTAAAATATTCACAATGGATTGGTAAATAACAAAAAAAGAAGGACATTTTAACGAATGAGAAACGGTGAGCAGGAGCTGGAGTAGGATGGCGAAATATTGTCATTGCCATCATTATGATGATTTTGCTTAAGGGCGGGGAACAGTCTAAATCGTATGTCGCCAAAAAAATTGTTACAGAATATACTTATTCAATTATTTATTGTGAGTCAAATTGGTTTTAGTTTGCAAAATATTTTTTTCGAAAAACAAAATTGTCAAATTTTCTATAGAATCTCCCATGATACAATAAAAAGGTAAGGTAGAGCTAACAGTTGATTACAATTTTTTCTAAGTGTGCCCGACTTCGGCCAATTGTGGGTATGTATTTATTGTTTTGAAAAATAAAAACAGAATATTTTCAAAATCAATGATTGGAAGACATGTAAATTGCGAGACGCGCATTAAAGCTATTCGCTTTTTTGACCATGGAATTGAAAAAAAGATCTGTCTAGATCGTAATTTTAAAAGCAAATACAGGTATTTAATTTATTTTCCCTGCTGTTAACCTGATTTTAAAAATAAGGAAAAATATTGAATGAATGAAATATTGAATAAATGAAAATAAATGACAAATTTGACAGGAAGCGGGTATAGCCTCAGGGCTGTATTTTTGTAGTTTATGAAGCTGTTCTACCTCTTTAGAATCACCTATGTATCGATAGGCTTTATTTCTACCACTAAGATAATTCAACTTTTCAACCAAAATGGCTGAACAAAAGGGGATGTAGCACCTCCAAAAGAATCTGGCCCATACTCTCGGAGAAGAGAACAAAGTCGGTACTTTCCTTGTCGAAACGTGATTTAAAACTTGCGGTGGGTATCATCACAGGTCACTCCAAGGTGAGGGCGGGCAATGACCTCGAAATTGGACAGCGATAATATTGATTACTGTAGAATCTGTCAAGACGAAGAAGAAATTGCGACGATCGAACATTTTCTCTGCCACTGTCCAGTACCCATTAACATGAGACACAGGATGGTGGGGAAACAAGTGTCACATGATTTGTCTTCGTTCTCTAACACTGACCCTTCTTAAGCGGCTAAAGACGACACGGCAAAATTTCTAGCCCTGAATTATCTATATGGATCTAATAAGTAATATCTTACTTTTTCCACCAATCTCTTGCTTTTTTTCGATTTTCTTCATTTAGGATGAACACAATGGACCAACAGGTCTTCGAGCGGTGATGAAACGGCAACCGCCCGTCCTTTAACCTAACCTAAACTAACCACTAAGATGGGAAGGCACTGTTGGTTGTCGACTACAAAAATTAGCTAAGTGAACTGATGGCGCCTTAGTTGATGGCGAATTAGAAAAGACGAGAAATATTTTTGAGAAATTTGTAATGTAGTAAGGAATGTAACCAACAAAAGTTTTAGTTGGCGGTTCTCTTCATCTTCATATTACTCTCTTACTCGAAAGTCCTAAATATGTTTAAAAAAAAAAACTCATAATAAATCTTTCAATTTGATTGCGCAAATATATAGCTATTCCCAAAAAGCAACTTAATTTTGATTGGTATTGAAGTCTTACAAAATTATAAAAATATCCAATTCCCTTGAAAGGGTGATTGGAGAAAGCTGAGAAACGCCTACAATTGGACAGCAATGTGAAGCAATAAACCTTTTGCGAAACTTTTCTGAACACAAGGAGAGAAAATGTTATGAAAATTTAAGGACATCGACTGTTTTGACAGGAGATTAAGAAATGATTGTTGATCATGTTGATATGATATATAGGGTATATATGTTTATATGGATACATAGCAAACCACTTACTATTTAAATACCCAGTATTAAATAAGGTAATCAACCTCTGGTTATGTGATTTACACTATATCCTCCATTAAATGGGGTCTGCCAAGATTTTTTTTGTTTTTTTTTTTTTTTTGAAAATCGAATGTAGTCTCGGCTGTGCGGCACGTAGCGCCGTTCTGGTGAAGCAAAATTTACGCATTTCCTCCTATTTAATTTTAGTGATTAAAAATTCGTTCAACATGGCCCGATATCGTAACGGCAACACCTTTCTCATTTTCGAAGAAATCTTGGCCAATTATGCCTCTGTATTAAAATTCGCACCAAACAGTGAGACGTTTTGGGGACATCGTATAAGTACAGGACGAGATGAAAAAACTGCAACCAACTTCAGACTGCTGTCATTCCTGAAGCACTCGTCCGACAGATGTTAAATTATTCCAGTATCAGTTCATTATATTGTTCACAAGCGTACAAAACATTTTGTTGAGAATTTTACAGAAAAAAAGTTATTCCTGATGGAATTTATGCGAGATAGTGTGATTTCCTTTTAATTTGGCTGGAAGCCACAAGTGGCTATCATTAGAGCACTCCAGCATTTGAATGTGAATAAATCTTTTGTGTCGCGTATCATCGTTCGTTACCGTGACACTAGTAGCGTAGGCCGACGTCAAGGAAGTGGACGGAAGAATGTTTCGAAAAGTAAATAAGCGACTTGGTCGAAAACCGCGTCGGCCGAAACCAGTGGCCCAAGAATTGGTCGTAAACTTAACATACCGCAATACTCAATTCGGCATATATTGAAAAATGAGCTCGGGGTAAAGCCATTGAAATTCCGAAATGTGCAAAAACTTACACCGCAACAGAAAGAAAATAGACTCAAAAGAGCTAAAGAGTTGCTTCGCTTGGCCGAAAGTGGTGAACTGCCGAATTTGGCTTTCTCCGCTCCGATGGGAAAACATTCGTTGTCCAGCAGTTTGTAAATAATAAAATGACCATGTTTACTTGCCAAAGAGGTGTGCTGAAAAAGGTCGCTAGTATTAATCGAACGTGGCATCAGAATAAATGACGAATATTATCGCGAAAATATTCTGGAGGGTGTATTAAAGCCGTCGACACGCAAACATTTTGACCGCAGACCTTATACATTACAACAGGACTCAGCACCATCGCGCTCAGCACGGGACAACTAAGAATGGTTACAAAATGAGGTTCCTCGCTTCATTTCCAGCGCACAATGCCCACCATTCGGGAGGCGTATGACGGTTTCATTCGCCGTTTGAAGGCCATAATGCGTGCCAGTACTACTCGAAAAAAAGAAACGTTAGATTACGGATCTTTTACTATGGAATTTTTTGTAATGCCTCCATATAACGATAGCGTCCAATATTCCGTATTTTTGAAATATAAACCTCATTAACCGCCAAACTACAACCAATTTGACATTTTACGAAAATAGAGGAGGTTTGGGTCTTAGATCATACCTCCAGCTTTTCAGTTATTTAAAGACTTTAACTATATTGTCCTGCCTTTGATGAAGGTCGCTGGTCGCAGTATTGAAACTTAATGCTATTGTTTTCAAAAGTTTTATTTTATCGCCGATCGTTTTTTTAAATTATGGTTTATGAAAAAAAGACAAAATTGATGAACTGCCAGGGTTGGGCATATTGCACTAAATTTTTAGTGCACTAAGAATTAAATAATTAGTGGTAGTGAAATTTTTATTCCACTACCACTAAAGGGTTAGTGGTAGTGAAAAATAAATAGCACTACCACTAACCCTTTAGTGATATTTAAGAAAAAATTGCACTACAACTAAATTTAGTGATTTTTCAAAAAAAATTTGCACTACCACTAAATTTTAGCGAAGCCAAAAAAAGCACTATGTATATAAGTATTATAGCAGCTACAATGAAGATTATTGAAGTGAGTAGGGAACAACAATCCAGAATATTTAGCACATATTCATAAAATTTGATTACTTTTCTAAATAGCACTAATTTAGTGCTATTTTTTATGAAATACCACTAAATTTAGTGGTAGTGCTATTGAAATTTCACTACCACTAAAATTTAGTGGTAGTGCAATTTTTTTTTAAATATCACTAAAGGGTTAGTGGTAATGCAATTTATTTTTCACTACCACTAACCCTTTAGTGGTAGTGGAATTTAAAATTGCACAACCACTAAATGAACAGTGATAGTGAAATTATTAGTGCACTAAAAATACAGTGCATTATGCCCATCTCTGTGAACTGCATTCTCGAAAAATCAAAAGGTCCATGATTTCAAAAATGGCTCTTAACAGCGTACTCGTTCGACTTTTTCACCATACATACACACATACGTTTATATGACAATTACCCAAATACAACGGGGGTACGAAATTTCGAAGTTGAACAATTTCCACATTGACAATTGAACGATTTTTTTATTTGTTTTTTATGTATTGAAAATAGAAACGATTATTACAAAAATGTGGATGTTTGTAATTGGAAAATATTTCAATGGGGGTGAATTCAATAAAGTATTAATTTTTAACACGTTATTATTTGGCGGATTTTAAGATATGTACCTGATGTATTTAGGTAATACGGACATACAAAACATTTTGCCATTGTGGTGAAGCTTAATATTTGTGTACGCTACGTCGAATTTTAAGTAGCGCTGTAAAAATATAATTTTTTTCTCCTCGCCTGTACCCAAATTGCCAGAATATTTCAAAGTCAAAAACTAAAACAGTAATGGTTATAAATAAAAACGCTTGTTTTAATTCATTATTCTTTTTATATTTAATGGTGTTTGTATTGGTTTATTTGCAAACAAAAAAAGTTATATTAACAGCCCATCGGCAATGCCACCAGTTCACTATTTATGTAGTTCATTCTCCTAAAATAGATCGGGAAATAGTTAAAATCATGCATATATATATTTTTTACTAACCAAAAGTGACAACCAAATTTGAACTAAGTTCTTCCTTGCCTCTATTTTCTCTATGCATAATTCCAATTAGAAATACTGAAATTTAACATATGCCAACAAATTCAAAAGAAATAGCCTTACAACGTATCCAAGGCTTAGTTAATAATCTTAGTAGTTTTGGATTTGGTAGTAGATTTGGTTCTCTTTGAATTTCAAATCGCAATTAAGCCTTGAGACATCAAACTTTGTTGTCAGATGGGCTTACTGACCGATGTTATACAGACCATGAACGTGCCAAGAGAATGTATGTTAAAGTTCATAGGTTTCCAAATCCGTATATATTTTCCTTGTACACTGCGTTAAAATGACTCAACTGTGCCCTTCGAAATTGAGTGCCTTTTTGCATTTATTTGTTCGAAAAAAAAAAAACACGTTTCGTATACAAAGCGAATGACTTTTTAGAAATCAGCCAAATATTTTGCATACATTACACTAACATACTGGGGATAAGGTTCTATTTTATTCGGTCGACTAAGAGAAATCAGGCTGAAATAACAATGTAGTAATACAACATTCTTTGTACTACTGAAATTATCAACAATATCGAGCTTTAAAAAATACGAATAAAATCCTGGCGAAATCCTGTTACCAAAAAATTTTCGTAAATAAGGGTTATATTCAAATTCCATTAAAATATATTCCAACACACAAACTCAAACACTTTGGTATGTTCGCATCCATATAAAGAAAACATTTTTTTCTTACGCGAAAAGTTCTATCTATAGGAATGCTGTCAACGGTTATCATCGAAAAAAGATCGGATCAACTGATATCATCTATGTAGCTTCACGGGTATGAGTGAAATGTTAAAAATATCAACAATTGTCGGATATCTGTCAGTTAGAAAACTATTACATAATAATATTTACATTACATGATGACATCGAAAAAATACTCAAACAATTAAGTCCAATCCTTGAAAAACAAATAAATGTGTTTTTGAAGTCGAGTAGTTCGGTCGATTGGCTCCATCTCAGCCGTCACCAAAAGCGTGCTGAGATGAACCAGATAAAAAGACAAACCAATATTTCGTTATCTGTATCATTTGGTGTCTAGGTATTAAATAAGTTTCAAAGACAATGGAAACAATGCACAAAAAAGCCAATGTCTATCCATTGTTTAAACTCAATTGCATACGGGAGAAGAACATTTTGGGGAAACCAATAACGGCAACAAAAAGTAAAAAAAGCTGACGTACGTTTCAATTTCTTTGGAGAACCTTACAAAAATATAAAAACCAAGTAGCCGAACTAAAATTGCTAATCAAAATATGTAGACGATAAAAAAAGTAAAACATTTACAATTTCAAAACTAAACCTAAATGATAAAAAAAACTAGAACTAAAATACAAACTAATTTAATAATTTGCTCATAATGTAAACTTAGTTAGAAACTAAATAAAATATATATGGAAATTTATACTATTGTTTAGAAATAGTGATGAGTAGTAAAAACTAGATGATTTTGTTTTGTTTTCTTGCAAGTTATTGTAAAATATGGTATAGAATGTGGGGTGTATGTTGATGAATTAAGATATAACATAGACATAGTTATGTTATTTTCTTTATAAGGTATGAAATATAAATTGTTTTCTTTTTTTGTCAGTACGAGACATTGTGTTTTTAGTCATTATATGTGTCTGATGTGTGTTTTTTATATTTATATTAATAAAAAACTGTCTTGCTAATTCGAGTAGTTTGTTTTGTTTTTTTTTTCAGAGGTGAATAATTTATTTTTTTTTTTTTGTTTAGTACGAAAATGAATCCAACGTACCATTCTTTTGTGGCATATACATGCCTCTTTGATTATTACCCCCACCGTTACCGTTCATCGTAGATGAAGCTGCACCGGCTTGTGTAGTTTGTTTAGCAATTGGTCGACGCTTAGCCAAAGGTAGGTCATCATCGGAATCGCTGAGTGTTAGATCCACCTGAGCAAAAAATTAAATATTTTATAATTAGTCCGTTTAATCTCATAGAGGCAAATAATACTATTTTTACCGTTTCACTATTTGTGGTCGATGATGGTTGTTCACTTGCAGATGCTGTAATTGCTGCGGGTGCTGATTTCACTGGTTTAACATCTTCTGTGGTGATAAGTTCTGAAATATACAAAAGCGTCGTTATAGTTTAGCATAAAAAAAGAGGGAAAAATAATAAATTATTTTAAAGACCTATTGGGCTGTTGCAAATAAACTGAATGAACTATATAAATTATTTTTTTCTGATAGTTTTAAAGACAGTTAAGAATGAAAATTACTTCTTTGAATTTCATTGAAAATGACCAACAACTAAAAGAGTCACAAATCTCTCCACAAACTTATTTTATAAAAAAAAAATCTAGTTGAATCCATTCATGGCCCATTATATCTCACCTATGTCATCTGAAATAACTTCGACTTTTTCAACTGGCTTGGTGGGTGTATCCAAAACTTGGCCCTCATTACGCAGGCTATGTGTACTCCATGAACCATCTTTGTGTAATTGGATTTCAGTGTCGTCGGGTTTAAGCAGATTTGAGGCCAACACTTCTTGGAAGTAGCTACATGAACAAAAAAGTCCATTAATATATAAATAAGTAAATAATTTTCAAATTACAAATTACCCATCAATAACAAGATTATCATAAACGGCAGGTTTATCACACACAGGACAATTCCAGGTGGGCTTACGTTCGTTCATCTGCAGGTAAAGACTGGCATCAAAGCACTGCAAGTGGGAACAGGTTGATGCACGGCATGGTATTGACATTTTCATTTTACCCAGGGGACAATTCAATGACACCTTCAGCATTGTTGTGGCAATTTCACAATCAGCATCTTCAGTCAATTTCTCTTTGACTGCAAGGAAACATTTTAAAATCACAATGTAATTGCAAAATGTATTGTGAGATCGGACACAACTTACTTAGAGCTCTAGTATAATCGGCAGGTTTAACACCCTTTTGTTTCATTCTTTGCAATAACTGGGCTGATGTCAATTTCTTAACCAAATACACTGCAATGCAATAGCTTCGTGTATAGTCGGGACACCACTGGACTGTAATTGTGTTGGTAACTGTAGGCGATAGTTTCACATTTGATGTGACATTAACTGGTCGAGGTGGTCTTTTTGGCTCCACATTTGGACGATTTGTTGGAATGACGTTCTGTAGGAAAAACAAAAAAATGTGTGTTTATTATGCAAACTTTAAATTGTATTCTACTTACCGGCAGTTGACAAAGTTTGTTGTTGACCTTAACGCTAACACTAGGTGGAAAACAGTCCTCTTGGTCACACGATGTCTCCAGTAAACAAAAACGCAATTGCACTTGAATGGCATGTTCAATTTTGGAACTGTTGCGTATGTCACGATTTGATGCAATTTCTGTGGCTTGTTGTGGTGTCAATGTGAAGTAGAATGGAACCTCCTGTATACGTTGAGCATTACGCGGCACCAAGGACGATGGTTTTATTAAGGTACCCAAAACATCATAAAAGGCCAGTTTCTTGAGGCGCACATCTGGATGTATGGGCATCTGTGAGGGTATGGCGTGCATAAAAGGAACCACATTATTGCCTTGTGGTACCCCGGTTTGCAAAGCTGCTGCATTGGCTGGATTTAGTATGGGTGGAGCACCCACCATGCCGGCAGCATTGGCTTGCATGTGCATTTGTGAAAACATTCTCTTCGGATCTGTTGGTCCAAATTGATTGGATTGTTGTTCAACTCTGAAATTATAAAGGAAATTAGAAACTGACTTAGTTTTATTGTTTGGAATTGAAATAAAGAAGAATACTTACATGGATTGTGTGTAGACTTCACGTATTTTGGGAGCAATCCAATCAAAATTTGTACGTAACAAGGATAAGATGCGCCTCTGGTAATCGACTTTTCGTCCAGTAAAAGAAATATTCAAATATGAAAGAATTTTTTGCAGTTCTACCACTCGAAGAAGGCTTAGTTTCTCCTCACATTCCTGAAACAAAGAAGAAATTCAATGAGAATATCATTTTATTCTAAATAACAAGTCTGTTTTTTTTTTTTGTGATTTAATTATTATTTTTAAGGCACATTTCGCATTTGAACAAGAGCCATATGCAAATATTATTAGATTGAATGGAAACGTCTTATATATTATGATTACCCAAAGGCATAGCAGACAATTATCCCATGTTGAGGTGGTTTGTTTTTAAAGTGGGCTTGGAAGTTGTACTCTTACTACAGAGCACGCTTACAAAATTTATGACACAAATAACAAAAACCAACCGGAGTTCTGACATTCAGAATAGAAAAACCACAGCTTAGAAACAACAACGATAGACAGATGGGCCGAAAAATTAAGAGAAAAGCCAAGAAACACAGAAAATTCACTAGTAATGAAAAAACCCATACGCACTCATACAAATACAAAGGAAAAAATGTATATAGCAACACACGTACACTCGTATACCACCAAACCCCACTCACACAGCAAAATGTGCACTCATACATTTGTGAATGCACATACACACACGCACATTCAAGCAACAACAACGGCATAAACTGCACCAACACATACCTGCCACAACAACTACAAATGCAATAACAATACATATACCCAGATATACATATACGCCAAAACACACACGCACACACACCGTGTCAAAACAAAAGACCAAATAATGTGGAATAACTAGCGATAAAACATAATAGTTGGCAACCTCATTTGTTACAAAAAAAATATATATGAAAACACAAAAAGAAGTACAAATACAAAACAAAAACAGGGAAAAAATAAAGTATAGAAAAAATCAATGTTGGCCGCTGAATCTTTACCTAGAAATTATTTAACATTTTTGCTAACGTGAAGTTGCTTCATATTTTCTCCTCTTCTGCTATAGATATCGCACCGCACAATTCTATCACAAATTTTCTTTGATTTTGTCACACAGCAATTGTTCTTGTTCGTTGTGATCGTCTTCTTTTCTCAAAAATTAAGGAATTCTTCGTTCTTTTGCTGAATTGAATTTCTCCGACTTTTTCTTTGCTACACACTTTACACACTTTACGCTGGCCAGGTTTGCAAAAAAAAAAAGTGGAAAGAAAAACTCTGTTGTTAGGCCACAGTCCAGCCTTTTCTTGTTAAAATTTGTGCAAATTGTTTGCTTTTTACATAGAAATATTCTTTTCCTCCACCCAATGGCTAAGTGACTCCAATTTATTTGCCTTTTTATTTAATTTCTTTTAAACTTTATTCTGCACACACAACACACTTCACTCATGGGGAAATCGAATGAATTCTGTCGTCAAAAGAATATGATGGCGGCGAAGGGATATTATTTTTGATGGTACATAAATTCCCAGTATTTACGGTATGTCAAATGCCCACTAGTTAATGAACACAGCCAACAGCCGGTACAGAGTTGCATCTGAGAGTTAAGTTGTCGGCTGGGTACAATAACACAGATAACAGCGTCAGCTGATAGTAGCATAAACGCAAAAAATTGTTTGAAATTAACATTTTGAATAAAAAATAGTGCAAATATGTTAAAATATTTAAAAGAAACGCATACATAACGACATTGAATGGAGTTGCACAAGAAAAATGTTCAAAGATTTTATTCTTGCAGAAAGTTATTAATATGTTTGACTTGCCAATAATGTCGGTGGTGTAATCAACCCAAAAAATGATTATTATTATGAAAAACAATCGAATGCTGTCTCAAAAAATTGTTTTCTTCTGCCATGATTTTAGTATTATTGGCGACATCAAGCAGTTGTTAGCATAGTACATTAAGGCCTCTAGCCGATTTAATATAGCAGTTGGTAAAATTAACTTAAAAAAATGGCTGAAATTCAAAATTTTGTATAAATATAAGGTAACTTTTTCAAAACTAATATTTAATGACTTCTGAATAAAAAAATCAAATAAATTTGAGTTTGGCATCATATCAAATGCTGATGTATTTACTTGTATTCTTTTTCCATTATTTTTAGAGTTATTGGTCACATTGAATGCAGGTAAAAGTGGCACAGCTTGCCTTATTAAAAATCAAATATGAAACCGAATGTGTTTTTTAATAATATTTGACGTAAAGGACTATTACTCCGTATTTTTCCCAATTTGCATTAAGCCTGCATACTTGCTGTATGTCTCATTTCGTAGGAGAAAAATGGTAGAATTAAGAAGGTAAGTCATGCAATTATAGGTTTACTCTTTTTCAAAATTATTCATTTAACAACATTTCATTGCCATAACGTTTATTTAGAAATTCAAGTTTATTTGAAATAACTTTACCTTCTTAATTTTACCATAAGCAGAAATCACCTACTGTCGAAATGTATTTGCAAAGAATTTGCAAAATTTCAAAGAAATGCGTTCTAACAAATTACGTTAAAAATTCGAACATACGGAATATTGGCTGGTTCAGTTATACGTGATCTGAAACAACTCCGGTGAAAAGTGTGACACAAATCATCAGAATACAGTATATCGGTTAGGTACAGTTATATATGGTCTCTATAAAAATGAAGATGATCTATCAGAGAAGATAATACATATGCTCAACATAAAATACAATTTCTGAAATAATTCCGTCAAATAATGTCGCTAAAAGTTGCAAAGTTCTTTGCAAGGATATTTCGTACATACTAGGAACTCAATACCAACAATTTACAGAAAGTTCGGTTCAAAGTTGTAAGTTGTCAATGCCAAAAATCTTATGACCTAAAATATATGTGAGTAAAATTTTGTCCACCTACTTCATTGCGTTGGTAATTTTCACAGACGGCCGGGCATGGCTGAACTAAATGGAATCTTTGTGGTGTTTAAAAAGTTTTTAGAAGCAACAAACTAAATGACATACATAATATGCATTTTTTACCGTTTTTTTGGTGGTTGATAGATTTCAAGTTTCCAATAATTGTTTTTTTTTTTTTTAAACTGCAAGCATGTAAAACATTTTACTCCATAAATTGGTAGATTCTTGCAAGTTCTGGAACAAAGCAAATGAAATTCCAATGTAAAACATATTCAAAAAAAATTTCAAGTTTGCCTTTGAGAGAGTAAATAATGGGTAATGCTTCAAATGAGCTAAGAAATAGCCTGGAGTCTTTTCTGCTTGTAACTTTCGACTTGTTACATATCCAAATAATATCTTATGCTTATTATAAGTTTACTTAAATCTTTATTTAAATAATATTAGGAAGAAAATTCGCGAATTTGGAAGAGCTATGCTATTTCCATATCCATCTAAATTCAGAAAAGGGGCATAGGTTTGACCCATGGTTGAATAATACATGTAACAGCAAGTGTTGTAGTTATACAACAATAGTAACAACAACCAGATACAACGTTGAAAACTTTCCGAACCATCGTCTTTGGCGTTTTGCTAAGTACAAGGGCAACGTTTCCTATGATTAGGCAAAAAATCTTCACATTATCCTACAGTGAAATTTTATATCATTGTATATCAAGAAAACGTCATATCGAGTTTGACACTAGTATTGCCATAAAGTCAAATCAGCTGGGACTTGCCGTTACCTGTAATAATTATACCATGAGGATTGACCCAAAATAGGTAACTTCATTAAAAAAAATTAGATTTTTTCGGAATGTACTTGTTAAATTTAAATTGATTGAAAATTAACATCCAACTCTGATTTGGGATACAATGGATTTATAAATCGACTTTATAAGAATAAGCTGTAGTCAAATCGAAAAAATGCAAACATAAGACTTTATGATGTTACCTTCTTAGTTTTGCCATGACATTGTTACATTCTAACATTAAGCCACAACAAGAAACAGAAATAAATTGCCATCAACATCAACATTTTTGATATTAAATAAGTGAATCTTAAAGGTAATTTTTATATGGCCTCGTTATTTTATCTCAATTTTACAAATCACATAAGATTTTTACACTGGAGCGCTTTTTTATTATGGTTGTACTTAATAGCCAGACATCAACCATGCGTTAGAATAACGAGTCATATGAACACATCCAAGACGCTGGGATATTTTATAATACTGGGAATTTCCCTCCAAAAAGTAATCATTGCAAATATTAAACAAATCAAAACATTAATTACACTATATAATATTTAAAGACTTTCACACATACCACAATGAACCAAAACAATGTAAATAACAAACTCTTCCCTGATTATTAATTCCAGAATTTATGTATGAAAATCCGAATCAGAAATCATTAGACCTACCTTAATCCGGGCAGGATCAATATAGACGCTGCCTGGCCCAGAAGCCGCCGACTGTTGTGTGTTGGTACGTTTCTGTTGTGAATTGTTGGAATTCATTTGATATTGAGGCGAATGCTGTTGCGGCTGTTGTTGCTGAGTCGCCGATGAATTCGATGAAGTGGAAGAGGACACGACACCGGAGCGAGAATTTCCTCGCGTCCCCGAAAGTATTGCATTTTCTGCATGGGTTTGAGATCGCGTCTTACGCATTACAAATGTTTCTGACTTTCTGTTCTATAAAAAAAATTACCAAAATATAAACCACAATCAAACACACGCACAAACGACACAATATAAACAATGCTCAGTCATGTAACTGTCCGCCGATAAATGTAAACAAGAATGTAATCGATTTTTTTTTAGAATTTTTTTTCGTGTAAGACAGTACAAATGCACAGCAAATGTAATTTTATGTTTTCACTTTCAAAAGATTGAGCGGTGGAAAATTTTTTGGGTGATTTGTGTCTCCTTGCTGTGAATGCAAGTGTGGAAACAGCTGCAGACAAACAGTGTTGCCAAGCCGGCATTCAAAAGAAAATTCCCCCTATTTTAGAAAAGTGTTGTCAACTTTCGCTGCTTTGTACAACCAATGGTAGAAGAATACGGGTAGTCGCATCGACACATCTGATGGGATTATGGATTTTCAAATCAACTTGAACGAAAAATGATTTAAATTTGTAACAATTCTTGAAAAATGCATATCATAATAACCTCCGTTTGGCATCGTTAAAGGAAAAAAGTAAAAATCTACCTCTTTTTGAAAACAAATTTTTAACTCAATGCTCCCAATAATACAAGGAAAAACCTCGTATGAACACTACAAATATGATTTTGAAAAGAAATTTTGACCATTCAATCAGTTTTCGTGGTTTTCACTTATTTATTCAAAATCAATGCAACTAGTTTGCTTTGCTTTTTGATTATTTTGATAGTAATCCTGACATTACAAGCCAAACAGGTAGACCTCTATTCTTCCAATTTTTTCAATTGTACCATCCGTTGTAATACGGATTTTGATTACAACTGAATTTGAATATTTTCTCAACAATTCACACACATGAAAAATTAATTTGCATTGTTAAGCCATGTAAATAAAAAAAACAAGTAAGGAAAGGCTATAGTCGTGTGGGGCCGACCATGTGATACCCTACATCACCACAAAATGTGAGAAGCCCCTCATGTCCAAATCTATTTTGGAAGATTTCGCTTTTGAAATTATGTCACGGAGCACTGCCCGATATTACCCTTAGCATTTTGACCAAGGACATTTTCCCAATATTTATGCTCTCCGTCGTGCTGTTAGTTTTTGTGGTCCATTTTACGGCTACGAAATCAGCATAAAAAAGCCAGAAGTTCACCTAATGTGTATTTCGGATATCGCCTGTAAGTAATGTTGGTATTTTTATACCCTACAGCACGAGGTGATCAGGGTATTATGTCTTTGTGCATTTGTTTGTAACAGGCAAAAGAAAACGAGATAGACCCATATTTCCTTTTGATGATCTGCATAAAATCACATTCTGTCCACATTCCGTCCGTCCATCCGTCCATCTGTCCGTCCGTCCGTCTGTCCGTCCGTCCGACTGTCCATGTATTTTTGTAAACAAAGTACAGTTCGCATTTATTACCCGATCCAGATGAAATTTTGCACAAATCATTTGTTTGGCCCAAGGACGAACCCTATTGAAATTGGAGATAATCGGTCAAAATTTAGATATAGCTACCATATATATATCTTCGTTCGATTTGACTTTTATTGTGAACCAAACGTTTAATATCAGTTCGAATTTTGCACGTACGATCAGATTGGACCTGAAAATAAGTATGCCAAATTTGATCGAAATCGGTTCAGGTATAGCTATAGCACCCATATATATTGTTCATCCGATTTGTTATTTTTGTCCTCCGCAGCCGTAATATGCACACTGTAACAACAATATTTGGGGAAATATATCAAATACAGCTCAGAAATACATTTGCTAAATTTTATCGATATCGGTTCAGATTTTTAAAATATAGCTCCCATATATAACTTCGTCCAATTTACCTTTGATTGTGCACCAAACGTCTAATATTTGCCCAAATTGGATGAATTGAGTCTAGAAGCTAGTATGTCAAATTTGGTGAAGATCAGTTCAGATATAGCTATAGCTCCCACATATACTGTTCATCCGATTTGTCAGATTTGTTACCCACAGCCGTAATATGCACTTTGTAACAACGATATTCAGGGAAATATATCAAATACAGCTCAGAAATATCTTTGCCAAATTTTATCGAGATCGGTTCCGATTTGGATATAGCTCCCTTATATATTTTTATCCGATTTCAAATTAATTGTGCACCAAATGGGTAATGCAAGTCCGAATTTAAAAGATACAAATGCTTCGGCATATTTAGTCCTTTGAACTTTAAATTATAATTATAATCACAGCGTGTATGATTGAATTCTCCCATAAAAACTTATAATTTTTATGCGCAACTCTACTAAATTAGCAAAGTGGTGTAGGGTATCATAAAATCGGCCCCGCCCGACTTTAAGACTTTGTTTACTGGTTTTACACACAAGTAGTGGTCCATTCTACCCGTTGTCTTAAATTCTAACTTCATGCAAGATTTCGTGTCCCTTGGTTTCTATTTGTGACCTTTATAACGGATGCAAAATCAGGAACATTTTGAGTTGCTGGTCCATTTGAACCCCTAAATATATTGCGGACATCTTTGAAAACAATAGATTTAGCCCTTCTGAGCCTTACCCTACCTTTCGTGAGGATCGAACGATAATTGCAATCTGGTTATAAATAATAACCCCAACCTGTGTTGTAAAGTGCAAAAATATTACAAAATATACACTTCAATATTATAAGTCAAATTGAAAAAATCGCATGCGATAAAAAATATGAAAAAATAAAAAAAATGTCACAAAATACTACAAAATCTATATTAACATAATTATCGGCATCTTTTTACGCAATTTTTTAAGATTTTATACTTTTATGCCAAAAGGGCATTCTAAATTTACAAACTTTGTCAAAATAGCTCCAGCCACTCTGGAGATATAAGCATTCTAGCTAACATCCCCTTCCTTTGTATATATACATTGTATATATTTCTCTATATATATCTGATATTTTTACTATCGGCATCTACGTAACGGTCAGAGTTCTCCTGTTCGTTTATTTGTGATTTCGCCGCATTAAAAATATTCGCGGTTTAATGGAAAATTTAACTTTTATTTATCACAAATGGTATGGCCTATTTCAACCACTAAATATTACCCGAAGACCATCAAAATTGGAAAGCTTCTGCCCAGCCCAAGGCTCTAGCCCTATGATGACTTTCGCTTCTATTGGTCTATAATTGTGACCTGTAGAGCAACTGAAAAAATAAAGAAATTTTTCAGTTTTTTGTCCATTTTAACCATGGTAGAAAAATACAGGTAGATGCATCAACGCTTGGGAGCATTGATATGTCAATTTTTTTTTAATTTATTTTCAAATATAAGTAGCTTCTTATATGTTTTCTTATACGTCGTCATTCGGAGGTTATTATAAAATGCCTTTTCAACAATTTTTACAAATTTAAAAAATTTTTCATTCAACATTTTCAATTCCAAAATTGGTTTGACATTTCATTGTCTCAGCAGCTGCGTCGATGCGTCTACCTATATTCTTCTACCATGATTTCAACCACTAAATATTATGCGATCATCTCCAAAAGAAATAGGGTTCTATTCTGACCTTAACCCCACCTACATTTTAAATTTCGTGAAGATCGGCTTATAATTGCGACTTGTAGAGTGATTACAAATTAACATGGACAGACGGACGGACGGAAATATATAGCTATATCGACTCAGCTCGGCGAGATAGGAAGATCCATATGTACTTTCCTATGTGGGAAATCAATATTTCGTGGTACTACATAATTTTTGGCCCAATCAAACTTATAATAACCCCAACACAAAGTGTTGTAGGGTATAATAAAATCGAATGTTTTCAGTTCCCTACCTTGATTTCATTGTACCCATGGCTCAATAAGAAAGGTTGCTTAACTTCAAGGTAACTGCAGTGATAGCATAGACTTTTTGAACATGCGACAGTTTGCTTTGTTTATTTAAATTTTTGGGGTTCCACCACAAAATTGAATCCAAGATAGAGGAACAATTTTGTTTTATCCCAATATTATACATTTTGAAATAATCTGAAAAAATTTTAAATTATTTTCCCTTTTATTCAAAACAGAACAGGGGCACCAAAAGAAAAAAATGTATTTCGATATCATAAAGGGAAAATCTCTGATTTGTGTATGTACAATTGATATGTAAATAAACAATTTTGAAAAAAAAAATTAAACATATGATTGCATGACTTTACCTTCTTAGTTCTACGATGGATTGTACCATTTTTTAGCAATACAAGGAAAACCCTCGTATAAACACCGTTAAACGAAATCTCAGCCATTATCGAAATCGATAAAAAATTGATTTTTACACCAGAACGAAAATCGACTTTCGTGTCCCTAACTCGCAGGTGAAACGTCAAATCAGAACGACGGAAAATCAGAATTAATCACGAAAAATAAGACAATTCACAAGTTTATTTCGGTTAAACAAAATTTAAAGTTTCTGCGGCGAATGCTCATGCCGATAATGACGTTTTGTGTTTTTAGTAACATAAATCGATAAACTAACCATAGAAAGGTAAAACCCCATAAAATCATGGAAACAACAGTCACCATGAAAAGAGAATCATAAGAATCATACGACAAATGAACAAGTGAGGAAAAACATAGTGGAAAAATTAAGAGTTGAGCAATTTTCGTATTCTCGGTTGCCTAATGAAACAAGAAAATATTAAGCAATATCATTGGGAAATTAAAAAAAAAAACTGTCACAACTCAATAAAAAATCGCAACAAAATCTTGTCCGCACTGAAAATTATAATTGTGTAAATCAAAAACAGTAAAGCTACACACCTTGCCCGTGTGTATTGTTATTGTCCGTAAAAAAGTTCTATTTGCTGTGTATTATTATTTTTGTTGTTGTGTCAGAAAAAACATCGTCACCGTCAACCCGCAACACCACAACAACAAAACGACGATAAACACATAGAGAAGGTTAAATAGAGTTTTTTTTGCCCAATTATCTTTTGTTTCAATCAGGTGTGTTTGGACTGTTAGTTTGAAACCGTACCTATAAACAGAAAATGTTTTAAAGAAGAATAGCTTAAATTGCTGAAAAAATTAATGCAGTTTTAGGCGGAAGTTTTTGTTTTCACATCTCTTTTATTGTTTTTGTGCCTCAGACGAAGTTATGAAGCTGTGGTTGTTGTTTTTGAAGTTGGAGATCAATGAACTGAATTTTTATGAGATCTAAACAAAACGCCTTTTGAAGATCTGACATCGTTTTCGTATTATGGACCGGACTAGCTATGGCGGGCATTCACTTGCCAGGGCTGGCTTTGTCACGTTGCCATGGTAATCATGAGGAGTCATGAGGATCTGGGAGATGTTGATGTATTTTCCAATATGTTACATTGGCAAATTATCCAAAGTTAACCAAAACATGACAAGCCGTCATTTCTCTTGGATCCGGAAATTTTCCCATAATAATGTCGGTTCATAAACAGATCGGTTGTTTTCTCAGTCTCTGTACGTCGTGTTTTCCTTGGCCATGGAAATGCCCATTGGGTGCGGGTTCACCAGTTCAAGTACCTCAACATTTTGAATAATTATAACTCGTATAGAATGTGATGTAAGTTTTCGATTGTCTTCAAATTAAGCACATCATAATATTTATATTAACCTAAGAGTTGGTGTGAAGATGGAATATATTGATTCACCCCTTCTGGCACCTCCCCACAAAGGGTCAACATTTAGAATATTCATGAAGCTCATAAAACACGAAACTAACATTCTATTCCACAAGATCTGTTATAAAGATGATAGAAATCGGACCAATCCATAAAGAGTCAAGTGTTTGAATAATAATAAACCGACTGATATTTTACTTGTTTTTGTTTACATTTGAACTAGTTCTTAAAACGTCGTGATGATGTTGTTAATTGTCGTTTAGATACCTAGGATATGTTTTTTCACTCACCATTAAATTGCTTTCAAAAGAAATGTTGTTATAAAAATAACAATATTTTCTTTGCATTCTTTAATTCAGGCTCCCGAGGAAATGCATTAATGTATACAAACATTAAAAAATTTTAAATGCAATCTATAGGTTTTCGAACTGTTTTTCAAAATCAATTAGTTAATTAAATACACTAAACAAGTTATTTTATGTTTTTGTTTTATTTATTTTTAGCAAGCTTAGCTCTGCTTCTTTATCTCGGAAGAGTTGTACTACTTGTTGTCATTAGTAAATGTTGCTGGTGCTGCAGTTTAAGTTTTTCTTTAGTAATCTGTCAACATTGTAGGAAAGCGGCAAACAACATTGGCGGCAGTATTGTTTAAGAATGTCAGAATCAACGAGTAGACCCACTAATAATGCATCCGACATTGCAACGGAAACGTCAAGTTCGACAACGGCAGAGAATGCTGAGGCCCAATCAGAAACATCAGAAATTGTCACATCGACAACAACTAGTGAACCCGCAACAACAAGCGGAGAATCCACAACAACAACAAGTGGGGGATCCACAACAACACCACAACAAACCCCAACAACAACAACACAACTGGAGTCACCAACAACATCACAGCAACAACCTCAACAACAAAATACTGAACTGCAGCAACAACATAATGCTGGACAACAGCAACCATCAACACCTCCCCAGCAGCAGCAACAACAACAACAGGCTCCACAACAGCAAGCAGCTGGCGCCGGCGCTGCTGCTGTAGAAATTGATGTCAATCAAATAGCAAATGTTATTAGCGTTAGTTATTTAGCCGCCAATGGTTTGAATAATCAACGTAATCGTGGTGCCGCCGGCGGTGTAATTGGAATCGGAGCACCGGGACAAGTAAGAAAATAGAATTTATATAAAAATATTTTGTAATTTGATTAATATTTGGTTTTCGTTTGTTCCAGAACAACATCATGAATATGCGAAATCGTCTGTTCCATGCAATTTATTTTAAAGTGGCATTGATATATGCGCAAATGTTTCCCAAGTGAGTACTATGTATAGGCGCAAATATTTATCAAAAACTCTAGAAAGTCTTGCAAAGGTGTCCATACTTAAAAAAGTCCATAAAAAATGTTAATATATATGTCCTTTGCAAAAATATTTATTGATATTTACAAGATTGTAGACCAGGATGTTGTTCAAAGGTGTTAATAAAAAGGTCCACAAGAAGTTCAAAAGTGTTAATAAAACCAATGTAATAAAACATAAATTAAAAAAAAAATATGATTCTTAAAACGAGTATAGGGTCTAGAAAATCTTCAAAAATGTGAAAACATTTCAAAAACTATATATAATAATTTATGTTTTGTGGCATTGCAATTTTTTAAAAATGTGACAAAACATTCACCTGTAACAAATCGATATTTTATGGACTTATTGGAACTATTAAATGACGTCTGAAAATCGAAATAGGAGCATCATTGAATGCCGATCAAAGAAGTCCCTATGTATGACTTTAATAGTCCTGGGAAATAGTAGGTGAGCTGTTTCCCAGGACTATTAAGAAGAAAAATCTCCTTAAAAAGACCTTGTCTCAAAAAATCGTGGATAACAGCTCTGTTATAGGTTGCAAAATCGTTTTTTGGATCTTATGGTCAAAAGTTCTTATTAGCTTTTAAAAAGTCTACAATCTGTGGCCCCTAAAAATGTGATTGAAAAACGACAATTTATGGCGTTGAAAGTTCTATAAAAGTGTTATTAAAAAAACTTCAACGGGTATGGTCAAAAAGTGTTTGTAAACTTTATTTTAATTTGCTCATTTTGTGTTATGGAATGTCAGTAGAAGTATATTTGAAATATCCACGTTTTGTGGCGAAAGTATTTGGAAAAAATATAATTAAAAATTCATGTCGCGTAATTTTTTTGACAAAATATAAGTAAAGATTTCAATTAAGACCCTTAAAGGTTTTAAAAATAGAAATAAAAAATAAGTTTATGAACCTGAATGCGTTGTCAGAATGTTGACCCTCTATCGAGTAGGTTCCGAGGGAGTAGGCAAATATTATCCATTTCGTATCGGACCTAAATACAGGGTGAGTTAAAAAAACTGCAACAAAGTCAAACGCCATAATTTTTTATTATTTTTTTAATTTAATTGAATAAAAGCAAGACATTTCGGAAATAGCATCAAATTTTAGAATAAGTTTAGATTCGTTCGAATTGGTCACATTTGGCATGAATTGTGGCCTTCACATACTATAATGGCCTTTGGTCACACGCTGCCCGAATGGTGCTCTGCGGCCTTTTTGCCCGTCCCGGTGAAGCGTTGCTTGAGGTGATCGACACTTTTGTAATTTTAGTGCCAACCTTGCTTTCCAAAATACTCCGGACTCAATAGTCCAACGGATTGGTATCCGGAAATTTTGGTGACCATTGTGCGCTGGAAATGATGCGATTAACTTCATTTTCTAACCATTCTTGGGTGGCACGTGCTGAGTGCGGGTGGCGCGTGCTGAGTCCTGTTGGAATGTCCAAGGTCTGCGGCCAAAATGTTTGCGTGCCCAAGGCTTTAATACACCCTCCACAATATTTTCGCGATAATATTCGGCATTTATTCTGATGCCACGGTCGATTAATACGAGCGGAGACCGACCATCGGCTGTTATGGCGGCAAACACCATCACCATGGCCAGCGCTTGAGTTCTGGTGGCCAACCGAAGGTGCATATTTTCAGCTGACCTCTTTGGCAAGTAAACACGATCGGATCATTTTGTTTGTTTACAAACTGCTGGATACTGGATGTTTTCTCATCGGAGAAAAAACCAAATTCGACCAAGCGAAGCAACTCTTTAGCTCTTTTGAGTCTATTTTCTTTCTGTTGCGGTGTAAGTTCTTGCACTTTTTGGAATTGTAATGGCTTTACCCCGAGCTCATTTTTCAATATTTGCCGAATGGAATATTGCGTTATGTTCAGCACACGATCAATTTTTCGGCTACTGCAACGCGGGTTTCGATCAAGTTGCTTCTTTACTTTTCGAACCATTTCTGCTGATGTTGCTGTTTTCTTCCGTCTACTTCCTTGACTTTGGGCTACGCTACCAGTATCACGGATACGATCGATGGTACGAGACACACTTGTGGTTTTCCAGCCAAACATAAAGAGATCACACCATCACGCTTCAATTCCGTCACGAATAACTTTTTTTGTTCTGGAAAACTCGCACCAAATTGCTTTTGTTCGCTTGTAAACAATATAACGAGCTGTTACTGAAATAATTTTAACAGCTGTCGGACGAGTGGCTTAGAAATGACAGCAGTCAATGGTTGGTTGCAGTTTTTTCATCTCACCCTGTAAATATTATATAAATATTGCGACGTGCCAGGTTTGGACTGTATCGACTACTTCTTTCACTTTATATGAGGTATGTGATAATTTTTAGAAAATGTTAAAACGTTCGTAGTCGACCGAAGTATTTCACTTTCATACTTCATCCAATACAGAGAAAAATATTAGTGTGGGCAATATTAAAAGAAAGTCGATCATTTATATCCTCCAATTTTATGCGAAATCCTAAATTCCATATTCAACTCAGGTTTCTGGTTGAGAGAAATATTTAGTTGTAAAAAATCGTTGACTTGTTTCGCAAGTATTGACAGATAAAATTATTGAAAATTGTGACCCTTTGTGGGTGAGGCACGAGAAGGGGTTGGCAGATATCTATCACAACAGATCTTGTGTTAGCAAAAATGTTTGTGTGTTTTTGAAATTTGAAGAGAGTTGGATGCTTATATCCATCCCCCTTTTTGAGCATTTTGTTTTTCAAAGATCTTGATTCCCATGTGGGGAAGGAATATTCCGATCTCGACCGTATCTAATGATATATACCCTCTATGGCCATATGGCTGAGGGTAAAATAAGTGAAAGTACTGCTTTCATGGCTCTGTAAAAGTCTTATAGCTCCGAAAGTCCTGTTAAAATATTATAGAAATATCTCGCTACAATAATAATTCTTTCCTTGAACGTCCTCTCAAAATATGATTAAAAATCCTTTTTATGGTCCTCAAAGTCATTTGAAAATATTATTAAAAAAACATTTCTCATCTCCCGGCTCAGAAATGCCTTCAAAAATAGTATTAATATTCACGTTTTATAGATCTGGTCAAGTCAAAATTTTTTTGTTCGAATATAACAGAGATTCGAAAAATCAACTTTTATATTCCTACTCAATTCAAAATTTGATTAAAAATCCACGTTTTATAACCCCAATACTTTTTGGAAATATTATTGAAAATCCAAGTTTTGTGGAACTCAAAGTAAATTTAAAATATTATTAAAAATCTGTCTTTTCTAGTTTTGATAGTTGTTTAAAAAAATTAAAAAAGTTTTATGGCCCTGTTAAAGTATTTTTGAAAAATTACACATTTGAGGTCCTTATGTTTAAAATCTCCTTTTTATGGCCCTTAAAGTCTTCTGAAAACTGTACTAAAAATCGGCGAGTATTGTCTTGGAAATCCTAAAAAATATTTCAAAATGAAATATTTTTTAAAGGCAGTCCTTCCCCAATTAATCGCAATCATTTTTCATTTATTTTCAGACCTTTTCAACGAGCTTTGGAGTACTTCTTCCTCGCTAAAGCACTGCTCTTCTTCTCGGCTTTGGTTTACATTCATATGTCGTTTATAAAAAATCCAGCTACTTGTTTGGAGCACGTTCAAGACTGGCCAAGGGATGGAGTTCTAAGGTAAATAAATATAACGCCCAACAAAATTTGTAACAAATTTTGAAAATCGTTTCCCCCTTTTTAGGGTGGAGGTCATACCCAATTTGGACAAACGCATGGAATTGTATGAAGAAAGTCAGGTCTATGAAAGGAATATGCGAAAGCTTTACTCTGATTAGTAAGTGGAATAATATTTAAATGTTAGCATTGAAAACAATGTTATGTTCTCTCTTTATCACCTTTAGTTTTTATGGAATAGGACCGAAGACTAAGAACCAATTGTATCATCACAAATATGCAACAAATGAAACATTTACCTATTACCTGCAACACGAAGAAGTCTACGAAAGTTACTTAAAAGACAAACAACAACAGGCAACGGAATATCATGAGAATCCCGACATGGAATATGGTAATATTTTTAGAACATAAAAAGTTTAGATTGGACTTAAACCTTTTTCTTATTGTTTTCCCTAGCAGATGAACAATACATTGTGGAATATTCACTGGAATATGGTAATTTACGTTTATCGCCAGCCACCCGAAAACGCTTACAAATACCCGTTCGCGTTGTACGTTTGGATCCCATGACCAATAAATGTTTTGGTGATAGATTTAGCAAATTTTTACTTAAAGAACTTTTAGGGTAAGTAGTTTTAAAACAAATTTTTGTTATGTTTAGAAAGTCAATGAAGTTTTTTTTCTTTATTTCTCCTAAGCTATGATGATTTACTTATGACTTCGGTACGTGTCATTGCCGAAAAGGAAGAAAATAAAGGCTATTTACGTAATGTCATTACTGGTGAACATTATCGTTTTGTTTCCACTTGGTGGACGGCATGGAGTTCATATCCTACGGCATTTTTTGTTATGATATTGTTTGTGAGTATTCATCGAAATATTTCAAGGAAATGAAATAGTGAAAAAGGAAAATCTTGGTACTTTTCAGATAAATATTTATATAGAAAGATAGATATATGGATAGATAGATAGTTTAATAGAAAAAAAAATATATATATACAGTGTGAGATAAAAAGTTGCAACAAAGTCAAACGCCATAATTTTTACATTATTTTTTAAATCAAATTTAAAAAATGTCGGAAATAGCATCGAATTTTACAATAAGTTTAGATTTGTTCGAATTGATCACCTTTTGGCACGAATTATGGCCTTCAAACGGCCAATGAAGCCGTCACACGCTGCCTGAATGTTGCTCTGTGGTATTTTGGGCCATTCCCGGCGAAACGCTTGCTTGAAATGATCGACACTTTGGTATTTTTAGTACTTACCTTGTGCTGTTTTCTTCCGTCCACTTCCTTGACCTCGGGCTACGGTACCAGTATCACGGTAACAAGCGATGGTACGGGACACAAAAGATTTATTCACATCTAAATGCTGGAGTGCTCTAACGATAGCCACTTGTTGTTTTCCAGCCAAATATAAAGAAACCACACTATCACGCTTGAATTTCATCCCAAATACCTCTTTTTCTAAAAAATGCCCACCAAAATGCTTTTGTACGCTTGTAAACAATATAATGAGCTGTCACTGGAATAATTTTAACAGCTGTCGAGTGACTTAGAATGACAGCAGTCTGAAGTTGGTTGACGTTTTTTCATCTCACCCTGTTGATAGATATATATTTAAGCTATCTAAAATAAAGATAGGTAGCCATATAGAAGCTTTTCCAACGTTTATTTTTAGATGAAAGCTCTTATGAAAGATCTCTGTAAACGGAAATCTATTGGTTTAACACATTCCAAAGACTTAAGAACTTTTCAAAATTTTCAATAAATAGAACATTCTGTAAATACTTTCCAAAGGTAAAAAGCTGTTGCAATGCTTTCAATAAAAGGACGCCTTATAGAAAGTGTTTTCTAAACACCTTTTCTGGATAGAAAACACCCTGAATCTTTTATTTATAGAAACTCGTTAAACAATCTACAACCTTCAAAGTGGCTTCTCCCTTAAGTTTCTTATATATGAGATTTTCTTTAAGAATTCCATTTGGAGTTTTTATTTTTGTAGACAAAAGACCAAAATATTTCAATAAGTATAATTTATTGTATAGGTTTCCTTATGATGGAAAGCTCTCAAGACCCTGGAAAGTACATGGATGCAATATATATTATATTATTGTACTGATATCCAAAAGGGCTGCTTTTTTCGTGAACGTCGTTTATGGATAGAAACTCGTAAAATAGCCTGCCATTATTCTAAGGAAATGATAGAAATGATTTAGGACATTTTATAGGTCTTCTTTGGGAAGAAGTTCTCCTTAAGTTTTTTTTGATGGTCTTCTATGGGTAGAAAACATATAAAAGATAGGAGATATTAAGGAATTTTTAGACAGAAAACTTTTTAAACATTGACAATAAAAAGAAAATCGTTTAAAGACTCTAAAAATATGGGGCCTTTCAAATTCCATCTATAGACAATCTACCTTCAAGAGGTACTGTATTTGTATAATGTCTTGTAAAGATTTTCACTAATTTCTAAAGTCTTTAAGAATGACATCTGGTAAAATAAGTAGCTAGGTGGTAAGAGATTACTAAATTATATAAAAACATTTAAAAAGAAAACGGCTCAAGAACCGTCGTGTATACACGTTTATCTTCTTTATGTATACAATTCCTTCCAATTGATAGACGAATCCTAAGAGTGAAGAAATTCCGCATGATTGTATAAGTAAATATATCAAGGTATTCATTGGTGCTAATACGTTTTCTTTTTTATATTTTAGACCTTTTCAATATCAATGCTATTGCGATTTTCGCATCATCAAATATTTGTTTTCATTGGTAAGACTATCAAATATTTTATTTGCGTATTTTTTTTAATTCAATTTTTTTCTAATATTTCCAGTGGACCTCTTACAAATGTTGGAATTCAATGTAACTGCTCGTTTTCCCATAGCTCCCCTGTTGATTGTCATATTAGCTTTAGTTGGTGAGTAAAAATACCATTTTATTTTTAATCGACATTTACTCATATCTATATTAAATTTTCAACAGGCATGGAGGCTATAATGTCGGAGTTCTTCAATGATACAACAACAGCGTTCTATATAATATTAATTGTTTGGGTTGCCGATCAATATGATGCCATATGCTGTCACACCAGTATTACAAAAAGACATTGGTTAAGGTAAGTTTAACTTATTTTTTTTACTTTTAATTTTATTTGTAGTTGATCATAGTTATGCAAAAAAGACTTATTTTATACAGTACGTTTTCTTCAGGCAGGAGATTTACTACTTATATCTAAAATATATTTTAGGGAACTTCTATAAACTGAAGACTTTTAAAAAGTTTTGTTTACATTAAATTGCCTGTACAAGTTTTCTTTGGGATAAAAAGAGCATAAATAGATACTGTAAAACTAGAATATCTTTTATGGATTAACAATTGTAATGTCTTTGGAATGAAGATATTTGTTTGGGGCCTGCAATAGTATTTTGTGAAAACGATATAAGCAAGAAATATTCAATTCAATTCATAAATGGCAATTTAAATGCCCCATGCGTCCTAACATGTAGTTGATAATCCAATGTGTCAAACGCGTCGGATACAGTCTTTTGCATATTTTTTAACAGCTTAGCAGATTGACCGTATCTCTTTCAAACAAGAAAAAAAAAACATTAAATTCGGCCGGGCAGAAATATAAATACCCTTCACCATTAAGTAAAGAAAGCATTTTTAACATTAACATTTCAACTTTTTAAAAAACCAGGTTAGGCCATTTTATTGGGGCCATACCAAAACGGGAAATTTTTTTAGACAGTTTTATACTTCAAGGATAATCATCTACCAAATCTTCTAAAATACCAAATTTGAAACAATTTCGTGAGTAAATGTGACTATAATTATCAAAATACCGAATATCGGTGGGTATCTTTATATGTGAGCTATAGAAAAAGGTGGACCTAAATATTCAATGTTCAGCCCCCGAAACTAGAACCCTACAAATATTAATTTACACAAATCCGTGGGAAAATGTGGCAAAAATCACATTTTTCTTTGGACTAAATCCGTTTCAGGACATTTGGAGTCGATCTAGCGATGTACGTCCGTCTGTCTGTCTTAGATCGAGATCGGAAATGGGCAATATCGATCGGTTCACTCCCTTGGTACCTCCCACAGAAAATGTTAACATTTTCACAGAAAATAATTTACTGTACAGAAAGAGAAAGGATAATTCGGTTTTGCTTCAACTTTGCATATCCTAATATTTGCGTCACTTCTACGTCAGGTGCGAAAATGGTGGACTATATTGGTCCACTCCATCAAGTAACTCCCCCACAAAGGTTTAAAATTTTGAATAATTGCAGGGTGAGATAAAAAAACTGCACAAAGTCAAATCTCATAATTTTTACATTTTTTTAAATTTTATTGAATGAAAGCAAAAATTGTCAGAAATAGCATCAACTTTTAGAATATGTTCCGATTTGTTCGAATTGGTCGCCTTTGGCACGAATTATGGCCTCAAAACGGCCACTTATACCGTCACACGCTGCCTGAATGTTACTCTGCGGTATTTTGACCCATTCCCGGCGAAGCGCTTGTTTGAGGTGATCGACACTTTGGTATTTTTTAGTGCCAACCTTGCGTTCCAAAATACACCAGGCACAATAGTCCAGCAGATTGTTATCCGGAGATTTTGGTGGCCATTGTGCGCTGGAAATGAAGCGAGAAACCTTATTTTGTAACCATTCTTGGGTGGCGCGTCCTAAGTACGATGGTGCCGAGTCCTGTTGGAATGTCCAAGGTCTTCGGCCAAAATGTTTGCGTGCCCAAGGCTTTAATACACCCTCCAGAATATTTTCGCAATAATATTCGGCATTTATTCTGATGCCACGGTCGATTAATACGAGCGGAGAGCGACCATCGGCTGTTTGGCGGCCCAAACCATCAGCATGGCCGGCGCTTGAGTTCTGGTGGCCAACCGAAGGTGCACATATTCAGCTGAACTCTTTGGCAAGTAAACAACATTTCATTTTGTTTGTTTACAAACTGCTGGACAACGAATGTTTTCTCATCGGAGAAAACCAGATTCGGCAGTTCAACACTTTCGGTCAAGCGAAACAACTCTTTATCTCTTTTGAGTCCATTTTCTTCCTTTCCTGTGTAAGTTCTTGGACTTTTTGGAATTTCAATGGCTTTACCCCGAGCTTATTCAATATTTGCCGATTGGAATATTGCGACATGCTCAGCTCACAAAGCATTTTTTGATAATGACACAAAAGATTTATTCACATTTAAATGCTGGAATGCTCTAACGATAGCCACTTGTGGTTTTCCAGCCAAATATGAGGAAATCACATCATCAGGCTTGAATTCCATCCCGAATAACTTTGTTTCTGGAAAATTCTCACCAAAATGCTTTTCTACGCTTGTAAACAATATAATGAGCTGTCACTGGAATAATTTTAGCTGCTGCTGTCGGACGAGTGGCTAAGAAATTACAGCAGTCTGAAGTAGACTGCAGTTTTTTATCTCACCCTGTAAATGCTCGGGTTCCTTCATAGGAATAGCCACTTATTTAATTCACAAACAGAATTGTTAAAATAATGGGTCTCTACTACTTTTTTCTTCAAGGTAAATGTCGAAATGTTTAAGAATCGATTGTAGGTAAGCAAATGGCCACCTCCATTTCTTTGTCGATGTCCGTTAATGTAAAACAATTACTTCTGCTTTATAGACAGGACCTTCCAAAAAAATCTCTGTGCCTATACCGACCAAAGATTGTGTGAACTAAACGAATGTTGTTGATAGGCTAGCCTAAATAAATTATTATTTGATTTTGCATGAATTTCACTTTCCAATATCAAGGCGTTGAGCAAAGCGTGGGTCGTCCCTGGTTACCGAGTAACCTAAAAAAATACCAATAACAAAAACACCGACGATGATGATGTTGCCGGGTTGGACTTTTGGTTACTAAGCCCAATTATTTATTTAAGACTTATTATTAACCACCTCTTGTATATTTTATGCCTCATTATTGCTTTCACTTGTTGGTCGTTTGTTGTTGTTTTTGTTCTTTTTGTTGTTGTTTTGTATTATTTTATCTCTTGTTTTTGCGTCTTAAAACATAAGAAGAGGAAACATGGAGACCTCCTTATTTAGAGATAATTGGCAATAGAAACACAACACACACACAGATACTCAAAGAACGAAAAGGTGGTGAAGGGGAACGGAGGCAGCCGTACAGGGAACTCAGGAATTAGAAAGGTATTATGACAATATTTAATTAATAACATACTAATTACTGTATTATGACCTTACATTAAGTAGGTCGACATCTACATAATTTTGAGCGGAGGGACAAAGAGAGATAGAGAGGGGGGGGGGGGGGGTAGTGGTTACGCTGTTTAGTCCTTTTACACTTGTAATTTTAATAAATTGAAATTTTATTGAAATAATACCATTTCGTTGAAAGTGAATTACTGTTTCTCATCATCCCCTTCTAAAGCGGAACGTTTAATGTGTTTGCATTATTTTTTGGTTAGCGGATTGTTGTTGTTGTTGGGTTGTGCTGTGAGTATGTTTGTCTTTGGTTATGTTTTCCTGCTGCCGAAATTAATTAATTTGTGTTTTTTGAGGGTTTGGGGGTTGAGAGACTATAAACAATTAATAGGAAATTGAATGGGAAACTATGCAAAAACAATACTCACTAATTTTTGAAGATGAAATTTGATGTGAGGAGGGAGGTGAAACTGTGGATTTTGGAAACCAAATTAACACAAACTACGTGATGTCACATAAAAAGCCCAAGGGAAATTATACCCAGAAACCAAAAAAACAAAAAAAAATATGCAATATAAATAATTTAAGCCTACAGCTAAAATTTGGTCCAATAATAAACAAATGGATTTTTAATTAAAATATACAGGGTGAGATAAAATAACTGCAACAAAGCCAAACACCATAATTTTTACATTTTATTTTTAGAATTTATTGAATGAAAGCAAAAAATGTCGGAAATAGCATCAAATTTGAAAATAAGTTTAGCTTTGTTTACCTTTGGCATAAATTACGGCCTACAAACGGCCAATGAAACCGTCATACGCTGCCCGAACGTTGCTCTGCGGTATTTTGGCCCGTTCCCGGCGAAGCGCTTGCTTGAGGTGCTTGATACTTTGGTATTTTTTAGTGCCAACCTTGATTTTCAAAATACTCCAGACACAATAGTCCAACGATTTGGTGGTATCCGGAGATTTTAGTGGTTACTGTGCGCTGGAAATAAAGCGAGGAACCTTATTTTGTAAGCATTCTTGGGAGGCGCGTGCTGAGCGCGATTGTGTTGAGTCCTGTTTAACCGCGTGTGCATATTTTCATCTGACCTCTTGGCAAGTAGTAAACACGATCATTTTGTTTGTTTACAAACTGTTCACTTCTTTCGGCTTAGCGAAGCAACTATTTAGCTCTTTTGAGTCTATTTTCTGTTCTTTCTGCTGCGGTGTAAGTTCTTGCATTTTTGGAATTGCAATGGCTTTACCCAGAGCTCATTGTTCAATATTTGCCGAATGGGATATTGCGATATGTTCAGCTCTGGAAAATTCTCACCAAAATACTTTTGTACGCTTGTAAACAATATAATGAGCTGTCACTGGAATAGTTTTAACAGCTGTCGGACGAGTGGCTTAAAAATGACAGCAGTCTGAAGTTGGTTGCAGTTTTTTCATTTTACCCTTTATTTTTATAGTCTATAGTCTATCCCTATTTGTATGGGACAAAATTCCACAAAATAATTTAAAATTTACCATAAACAATGGGACAATATGGTTTAAATGATTTGCAATTTTCAATTGATGAATATACATTTGGGCTTGCGGCTAAACAAACAAATTAAAAATTATCAGTCGGGTTTGCCCACAGATGTATACCTTCAGCCTATGTTCGATTGTTTAAATATATTTTGTCTTGTGTTATGATTATTCAAATTGTTGATCATCTATGGAGTAGGTTCCGAATGAATGGACCAATGTTGTCCATTTCGTATCGGACCTAAATAAATAAGACATAAATATTGCGACGTGTGAAGTTTAGACTACATTGGTTACTTTTTTCAGATTATATGAAATCTGTGGTAATTTTTAGAAAATGTGCGTTAGGTACCGATAAACCGAAGTATTCCATTTTAATACT